TCAGCAGCTCACAGGGACATTACAGATTTATTTTCCTACATAAAATAATCAAAATGTTGGGGCGCCTGGGTGGCTCAGTCGGTTGAGTGTCCAACTCTCGGTTCAGCTTGGGTCATTATCTCGGGGTCCTGGGATCACCCCATGGTGGGCTTCATGCTTGGCAGGGTGGTTTGCTTGAAGATTCTCTCTCTCCCTCTCCCCCTCCCCCGACTCACATACATTCTCTCTCTCTCTCTGTCTCTCTGTCTTTCTCTCTCTCTAAAATAAATAAACCTTTAAAAAATAATTAAAATATGTGGCAAATTATATCATTAAAAAATCAATAGGCAAAGAGTAAATTAGGAATAGATATTTAAAGCAAATAGTTAAAGAATTGATATCCAGTCTTCAGATATGTATTACAAATTGATAAGAAAAAATAAGAATTTCACCAGAAATGAGAAAGTCCAGTTGATTAATAAGTATATGAAAACTTTCTCAAATTCCCCAGTGAAATGTAAGTAAAAGTAACAGTGGGTTACTATTTCTCACTAGAATATGATGATGAAGTGTATTTTTACTTGGTTTTGGAGAAATTACAGCCTTTGAAACAGTCTGTCAACATATTTTTAAAATCAAATTGAAAACTTAATTCTTTGACCCAATAAACACACTTCTGAGAATATATTTGATAGAGATAAAGGTTATATGTACAAAATTGTTTATTACAGAATAGTCTGTAGTGGCAAACACTGAAAAATAATAGAAAAATGGGAAAATTAACTATGACATAATCAACAATGGGTTATTACATAGTTATATGAACACTAGATTATTTGGAGGAATTTTCCTGTGATAAAAACTATATGCAGAGAAGTATATATGAGATAATCCATTTTTGTAGAAAGAAAGGCCAAGGTGTGTGTGTGTGTGTGTGTGTGTGTGTGTTTTGTGTGTGCCTAAGGAGATAAAGGAAAATGAACATAAACACACATTTTTATACAAAATAGTTTGGCTGTTACATAACTGCGTTCCCTTGGGAAATTGAAACTTTCTTCTCCAGCTCCACATACTGCTTCCCCTCAAAAACAAAGGGATAAGCAACAGAAACAGAATTAAAGTGCAGCCTCCACTGGACACCCCATTGAACTTTTGAATTATTCCCATTATATCTAAGTCCATCAAGTTGCCTAAGCAACACGACTATGCCCCTGTATAAGGAAAGGAATCTTGCACTAGATTTAAGAGCACAGTCAAAATTTATTTATTCACCCTTTTTTTCAACAACAGTGTTTTCACCTAAAAATATTTAGTGTCACCACTGAATCATGCAGTTTAGAGTCTAACATGATCAATGAGACATGGCCCCAGCCCTAATCTATGAGTAGATGCCAGGCACATGAGAAGATTATCATGTACCGAACGGAAGTCACCATGACAGGGGAATTAGAGTCTGGAAGTCACCATGACAGGGGAATTAGAGTCCTGAGGGAGCCCGGAAGAGATTGAAAGCCAGTCAGAAACAAGCCAAGCTTATTTTCTTTCTATCCATTATCTGAATAGATCTTAGGAATTGAAGCCTTTGCTTATTTTGCAATGTGGTTTGCAGTGAATTCATCTTTAGTATATCAGTATATTACTGAGTTGAATTTCTGCAATGTTAATGTCATTTTAAATAACATGTACAGTCAAGATTTTTATAGAACACATTCCTTTGTTCATCAAATACTCCATTCCTTGTTCCTGGAACATCTAGAATTTGGGGAACTTTCGGTTTATTCATGAGAATAGTTATATATTTTTGTGTATGAAAAAAAGTATAAGGAATGAATTTTGTTTATTCATCAAAATGAAAACTTGTGCATGGGTTCATTATACTATCTGCATAGTATAATATAATATATGAGTAATTTTCTTTTCTTAAAACTGAATCTCCTTTTTACACGTGTGTGTGTGTATATATATACACATACATGCATGTATGGATGGATGGATGGATGGATGGATAGATAGGGCAACATGACCTCATTTTATACGTAACAGTGAATTTCAGTTTAAGAAAATGAACTCTTCCAACCAAAATGGGGCTGGTTATTTCTTGTTCACAGACACATGCAGTTCCAAAGCTTATGAGGTTGGGGCTTTTAAACTTTATCATGTCCTATTTTTAAATCCATAAATTTGATTTTGGAAAACCCCGTTAAAATATGAACAAAAAGATCTATGTATATTCAATATATTTTAAAATAACTTACAATTTCCTGGTAATTTCAGAGTTCATTTGACAAAGGCAGAAGTGGCTTCGTGGGTATGGGGAATGACCTTATAGTTGCAGAGGGACCCACTTCCAGGAGGACCCTGTGCTTGTTATAAAGCTCAGCTGCTGCTATTTTCACATTCCTAGTAATTTTATCCATGAAGTTATGTTTTGTAAGTGAAGTCCCCTGGGACAGTGGGGCATGAACATGAGCTGCCGCTCTGCACATACAGGTTCAGGCCTGTAGGCACAGGAGGCAACACAGAAGCCAAGGACTTGGCCTGACAGTGAGGGGTGGCGCATATGCATGCCTCAGCAGTCTGAAATGCTGTGTCCCCCACGTGGCTGAGCCAGAACTGGGCCAGAATGCCAGTGGCCACAGCAACCCCCAAAGCAACAGCAGTGACTGTGGGAGGCAGGAGTGACTCCCCCAGGCCAGCAGGGACGGGAATCTTGGTGAGAAATTAGCTGACTCTCAGTCCCAGGATCCCGTCCCTGCAGTATCTACACAGATATTGAATCTTCTGCCTCAATTCCAAGATAATACTTGGGGACCTCTGATGGTTAACTTTGTCAATAAATTATTACAAAACAGGGAGGACACATGGATATTGCGATAAAGCATATCAGGGCGTTATTAGAATTCTTCACAATTTATAATGTCCAGTTTTGAAAACTCCTGCAACATTGCAAAGCAAATATCCACCAGCCTAGAAATACGGATTAAATGTAAAGATCATCACATTTGATGAAAAAATAACACTATTTTCGTATGAAACTTTAAATGAGCCAATGATTAACAAAGAAGACAATTTTTAATTAAATTTTCCTTGTAATTGAAAATAAAGGAATAAAATACATAAATAGGCGTTTTGGATTATAGGCAAATCATGAAACTACTTTTGGTTTCTCGCACAACCTCAGTGAGTTACAGGAAATGTCAGAGGAAACATTAAAATGTCAATGCATACATTTACATTCAACATTAAATTCAATATACAGTATAAAGGATCTTTGTTGTGATGGAATTGTTCTGTATCTTCACTGTGGTGATGAATACACAAACTTATACATGTGATAAAATTGTTTAAAACTAACTACTCACACAAATGAGTACCAGTAAACTGGTGAAATATGAATGAGATCAGTGGATTGTACCCATGTCAATTTCCTGGTTGTAACATTGTACAACATTGTCAGGATGTTACCATTTGGGATAAAAGGTGCATGGGTTCTTTATTATTTCTTATAATTTGCATGTTAATCTACAGTTATCTTAAAAGAAAAAGTTTAATTAAAAAGTCACTTTCATGAAACTAATTTGTATGAACAGTGAAACCTTTATTGAAAAATTGTTCCATTAGAATCATCAGCTCCAAATGTACTAAAATTTGTATGTTAAATCACAAATTTATCTCAATGTTGTCACAATGTATAAAATACTCTTAATAGCCCTAGTAACAGTTGCATCAGCAGAAAGATCTTCCTTAAAATTTCTCAACAACTATCAGAAATTTATGATCTTGCATTAGCCAAAACAAATGATGTCACTTACAGTTTTATAATTGGAAAATAAAATTGCTAATTCTATCAATTTTGAAGACCTAAGGAATGAATTTGCAGAAAATTAAGCCAGAAAAATTATATATCAATCAATATAACACAATAATACAGTTTTTCTATTTATTGTATTATATATAATTGACACAAAAATGTTATTCTTTGAAATTTATAAATTTCTGTTGTTACTCATCTACCACTATTACTATTATAAGTAATAAAATATTTTTAAAGGGAAAAAATTATGTATTATTATCTTTAACAGCACTTTTTTGTCCCTACATTTTGAATGAAAGGGCCCCAAATTTTCATTTTGCACAGGGCCTTATAAATTATGAAAGTCTTGGGCCATGAGGTTTGATACAAATTGATCCTAAGAATCCTTTAAGTTTTATCAAAGGGTAGATATATTGCATAGCTTATTTTTGTAGAATTGAGCTTGGAATAAATTTTTGAAAAGACTCAAATTGCATGCAATAACTATTCTCAGAAGTCAGCTTCTTTTTGTCTAGAGGGTTTGCCAAGATATTATTTTGCTTATTTTATTTTATTATATTATTTTATAAAAAGCCAACAAGATTCATCCATCATCAGTCCTGGCATTTGAATTCTCACTTACATTACTCTGAGAGAAGGCTTCAAGGAAATCTTTCCATTTATCAGACCTGCGTTTCCAAAGTTTGTTTATTTTTCATTTAAGAAATATAGAATTAAGGACTATGCAAGTATTTTGATTTGGATTTTTTAAAATCTAAACATTGTAGTTTTGATAAAAATTCTTATACTTAGGCCCATCAGCTTCACATTTACCTGCAGTATTTCTCAGCTTGCAAATACATTGCTAGGAAATGACTAGATTGCCTAGAAAGTTTGGAATGAGCCCATCAGCATTCATTCTTGGCATTTTTATATGACAGTCACACCATTGTCCCAAAAGAAATTTCTGTTTTAAAAACAACAAACCTAAAACTGGTGTTTGGGATGCACACATATTAACAGTAGATTATTTCTGTTTCCTAGTGGTAGCAAGCTTTGAAAAACATCAAGTCATTTGAGTAGCGATGAAGAAGTATCTGTGTAAATGTTCCATTACAAGGATGTTTCTCCATACTCATTCTCTAATGTTTTTGTGTACAGGTCACATTCACTTTTATTCCACTATTGTGATGGTTCAGCCTGTTTTCTTTTTTCTCTTCGGTTCCAGAATGACTCGTGGGGAAAGCAGTATTCATATGCACTCTTCAAAGCTATGAGTCATATGCTGTGCATCGGGTATGGAGCCCAGGCCCCAGTCAGCATGTCGGACCTCTGGATTACCATGCTAAGCATGATCGTTGGGGCCACCTGCTACGCCATGTTTGTCGGCCATGCCACAGCTTTAATCCAGTCTTTGGATTCCTCCAGGCGGCAGTATCAAGAGAAGGTAATTTGTTTTATCGCTAATATCTTCAACCAGCTAGTTTGCAAATCTAACTAATAGTGTTCAAGGTAACTAAACTATCATTCTATCAAAAATATAAAGAAATAAAATGTATAAAACAGGAAAATACAGTCTTTGATATTTTGCGTTTCTTCAAGATGCTTGTCATAGCTGTCATTTGTTACTGATTTCTTTCCTGAATAGCCCTTTTTTTTTAAAAAATCTGAATTTACATTCACAGAAAAAAGTTACATGTTTGAGAATGCATGAAGCTGATTTAAAGTATTACCATCGATCATGTTCTATCATATTTCAACAGTTAAAATAATATGCAGCCCTCTCTAGTATATGTTAGGAAAATATGTTAGAGATTAAATGGAACTAGGCAGCCATTGCACATGTCCCTCTGTGTTTCTCTGCATTATAATCATAACTTATGTTAAAATCCATATGCTTCACTGAACATATGTTGCTCTTCTATCTAGATAAGTCACCACACCCTGCAGTCTTAAAAATGCATATTAACAGCTGCTATCATGCATTCTTATGCACGATGTGTTAATTAAAATGATTGCTGCTCTAAACTATTCTCAAAAGAGAGAGAAAAAGTAAATATATGCAATGATATATTCATTGGATTCTTTTTTCATATGCGGAATTATTTTGTCTGGGGCTAAACCTTTGGTAATCGGACAGCACATGTATATTTGACCAAACATCATTAACTTTCCAACAGATAAATAAGAATATTTCATAACTGAAGGAAGGATTTCTAAAGTAGAAGTTTAGCTGTACACCTTGCCAAAGAGGATGTCTGAAAGTAATGATTAAAAGAGTTCTAGAATACTTCTCCTAGTGAGTGATAACAGGCTAGACTCATAATTACCTACAAAATAGCCAAAGATTGTTTCAGTTGTTGCTTTATTTACAGAAGTTTTCAACACTATAATCACGTAATAGGAGAAAAGGAACCCAGATTCTTTATTTCCCTTGAATGTAATTACACTGCCACCAACTATTGCAATGAGCAAGTTGGTATTTTATTACTGAAGTAATGAAAGGATGAACCACCAAAATTGCTTCGAGGTACATTTTAAAATAAAGACTTCAATTAAGTTAGAAAGAACAAAGCACACAGTAAGAGAGAGAAGACTTTATACAATGTTGACTTTGACTGAAAATTATATACTCAAAGGAATTTGGGCTCACTTTATGGGGATTTAAGATAAGACTACAACAAGGCATATGTTTCCCTTATATACTGTTTTTTCTCTTCCAGTTGATATTGCCTTTTTTTTTTTAAATTTTTTAAAATTTTATTATGTTATGTTAATCACCATACATTACATCATTAGTTTTTGATGTAGTGTGCCATGATTCATTGTTTGTGTATAACACTCAGTGCTACATTCAGTATGTGCCCTCTTTAATACCCATCACCAGGCTAACCCATCCACCCACCCCGTCCCCTCTAGAACCCTCAGTTTGTTTCTCAAAGTCCATAGTCTCTCATGGTTTGTCTCCCCCTCCGATTCCCCCACTTCATTTTTCCCTTCCTACTATCTTCTTTTTTTTTTTTTACCATATAATGTATTATTTGTTTCAGAGGTACAGGTCTGTGATTCATCAGTCTTACACAATTCACAGCACTTATATAGCACATACCCTCCCCGATGTCTATCACCCAGCTGCCCCATCCCACCAACCCCCCACCATTCCAGCAACACTCAGTTTGTTTCCTGAGATTAATAATTCCTCATATCAGTGAGATCATATGATACATGTCTTTCTCTGGTTGACTTATTTCGCTCAGCATAATACTCTCTAGTTCCATCCACGTCGTTGCAAATGGCAAGATTTCATTCCTTTTGATGGCTGCCTAATATTCCATTGTATGTATATACCACATCTTCTTTATCCATTCATCTGTTGATGGACATCTTGACTCTTTCCATAGTTTGGCTATTGTAGACATTGCAGAGGCATGTACCCCTTCGGATCACATTTGTCTCTTTGGGGTAAATACCCAGTAGTACAATTGCTTGGGTTGTAGGTTAGCTCTATTTTCAACTTTTTGAGGAACCTCCATACTGTTTTCCAGAGTGGCTGCGTCAGCTTACATTCCCATCAATAGTGTGGGAGGGTTCCCCTTTCTCTGCCTCCCCGCCAACATCTGTCATTTCCTGACTGGTTAATTTTTGCCGTTCTGACTGGTGTGAGGTGATATCTCATAGAGGTTTTGATTTGGATTTCCCTGATGCCGAGCGATGTTGAGCACTTTTTCATGTGTCTGTTGGCCATTTGGATGTCTTCTTTGGAAAAATGTCTGTTCATGTCTTCTGCCCATTTCTTGATTGGATTATTTGTTCTTTAGGTGTTGAGTTTAAGAAGTTCTTTATAGATTTTGGATACTAGCCCTTTATCTGATATGTCATTTGCAAATATCTTCTCCCATTCTGTCGGTTGTCTTTTGGTTTTGTTGACTGTTTCTTTTGCTGTGCAAAAGCTTTTTATCTTGATGAAGTCCCAATAGTTCATTTTTGTCTTTGCTTCCCTTGCCTTTGGCAATGTTTCTAGGAGGAATTTTCTGCGGCTGAGGTTGAAGAGGTTGTTGCCTGTGTTCTCCTTTAGGATTTTGATGGACTCCTGTCTCACATTTAGGTCTTTCAACCATTTTGAGTCTGTTTTTGTGTGTGGTGTAAGGAAATGGTCCAGTTTCATTCTTCTGCATGTGGCTGTCCAATTTTCCCAACACCATTTGTTGAAGAGACTGTCTTTATTCCATTGGACATTCTTTCCTGCTTTGTCGAAGATTAGTTGATCATAGAGTTGAGGGTCTATTTCTGGGCTCTCTATTCTGTTCCATTGATCTGTCTGTTTTTGTACCAGTACCATACAGTCTTGATGATTACAGATTTGTAATAGAGCTTGAAGTCTGGAATTGTGATGCCGCCAGCTTTGCTTTTCTTTTTCAACATTCCTCTGGCTATTCGGGGTCTTTTCTGGGTACATACAAATTTTAGGATTATTTGTTCCATTTCTTTGAAAAAAGTGGATGGTATTTTGATGGGGATTGCATTGAATGTGTAGATTGTTCTAGGTAGCATTGACAGCTTCACAATATTTGTTCTTCCAATCCATGAGCATGGAACGTTTTTCCATTTCTTTGTGTCTTTCTCAATTTCTTTCATGAGTATTTTATAGTTTTCTGAGTACAGATTCTTTGACTCTTTGGTTAGATTTATTCCTAGGTATCTTATGGTTTGGGTGCAATTGTAAATAGGAATTTTATCCTTAGTTTTTCTTTCTTCTGTCTTGTTGTTGGTGTATAGGAATGTCACTGATTCCTGTGCATTGATTTTATATCCTGCCCCTTTACTGAATTCTTGTATGAGTTCTAGCAGTTTTGGGGTGGAGTCTTTTGGGTTTTCCACATAAAGTATCATATCATCTGCAAAGGGTGAGAGTTTGACTTCTTCTTTGCCGATTTGGATGCCTTTTATTTATTTTTGTTGTCTGATTGCTGTGGCTAGGACTTCTAGTACTATGTTGAATAGCAGTGGTGATAGAGGACATCCCTGCCGTGTTCCTGACCTTAGAGGAAAGCTCTCAGTTTTTCCCCACTGAGAATGACATTTGCTGTGGGTTTTTCATAGATGGCTTTTATGATATTGAGGTATGTACCCTCTATCCCTATACTCTGAAGAGTTTTGATCAAGAAAGGATGCTGAACTTTGTCAAATGCTTTTTCTGCCTCTCTTGAGAGGATCATATGGTTCTTGTTCTTTCTTTTATTAATGTATTGTATCACATTGATTGATTTGCAGATGTTGAACCAACCTTGCAGCCCAGGGTAAATCCCACTTGGTCGTGGTGAATAATCCTTTTAATGTACTGTTGGATCCTATTGGCTAGTATTTTGGTGAGAATTTTTGCATCCATGTTCATCAGGGATATTAGTCTATAATTCTCCTTTTTGATGGAGTCTCTGTGTGGTTTGGGGATCAAGGTAATGGTGGCCTCATAAAACAAGTTTGGAAGTTTTCCTTCTATTTCTATTTTTTGGAACAGTTTCAGAGAATAGGTATTAATTCTTCTTTAAATGTTTGGTAGAATTCCCCTGGGAAGCCATCTGGCCCTGGGCTTTTGTTTGTTGGGAGATTTTTGATGACTGCTTCAATTCCTTAGTGGTTATAGGTCTGTTCAGGTTTTCTATTTCTTCCTCATTCAGTTTTGGTAGTTGATACATCTCTAGGAATGCATCCATTTCTTCCAGATTATCTAATTTGCTGGCATAGAGTTGCTCATAATATGTTCTTATAGTTGTTTGTATTTCTTTGGTGTTGTGATCTCTCTTCTTTCATTCATGATTTTATTTATTTGGGTCATTTCTCTTTTCTTTTTGATAAGTCTGGCCAGGGTTTTATCAATCTTGTTAATTCTTTCAAAGAACCAGCTCCTAGTTTTGTTGATCTCTTCCACTGTTCTTTTGGTTTCTATTTCATTGATTTCTGCTCTGATCTTTATTATTTCCCTTCTCCTGCTGGGTTTAGGCTTTATTTGCTGTTCTTTCTCCAGCGCCTTTAGGTGTAGGGTTAGGTTGTGTATTTGAGACCTTTCTTGTTTCTTGAGAAAGGCTTGTATTGCTATATACTTTCCTCTCAGGACTGCCTTTGCTGTATCCCAAAGAGTTTGAACAGTTGTGTTTTCATTTTCATTGATTTCCATGAATTTTTTTAATTCTTCTTTAATTTCCTGGTTGACCCATTCATTCTTTAGTGGGCTGCTCTTTAGCCTCCATGTATTTGAGTTCTTTCCGACTTTTCTCTTGTGATTGAGTGCTAGTTTCAAAGCATTGTGGTCTGAAAATACGCAGGTAATGATCCCAATCTTTTGGTATTGGTTGAGACCTGATTTGTGACCTAGGATATGATCTATTCTGCAGAATGTTCCATGGGTACTAGAGAAGACTGTGTATTCTGTTGCTTTGGTATGGAATGTTC